GGAAACAAACAATTGTATAATTAAACATTTCCATAGTGAAATAAACTGAATTTTTATTTCAATAAACATTTTCATAGTATGAATGTTAATGATTGTTTACCGTTCTACCCTTATTGATGAAATAAACTGAATTTTTATTTTTTATTTTTTTTAATTTCCATAAATAAAGCATACAAATCTTGACAATTGATCAAGAAAATGGATGCTTGAGATTGGTTTACACGGTTTACACAAATGGAAAAAGTTTTCATTTGAACGCTCCTCTATATATATATATATATATATATATATATGAGGTTTACTTTACAAACCACGTTATTTGTATAAACCGTACAAACCTCATTCAACCAATCATAATTTTTCAATTTATTCATTTTTTTGTAATTATGAGAGGCTGATTAATCATTTTTATTGTGGAGAGAGTTAATCATGGATATTATCATCTTTATTATAAAACAGTTTTATTAATATTTTATATAAGTATTATATGAAAACTTTCATAACCATATATGAAACAACTTTATAAAAAAAATATTATATGAAATAATTTCATAAGATTAAACAATGAAATCGACGGATAAGAGTGGTTTACACAATTTGTACAAATAAGAATGATTTGCATTTGATCACTTCTCTATATATAGAAAGAGAAATATTCAAATGCAAATCATCCACACACACACACACACATATATATATAGACTTGGGATCACATGAGACCAGCCTGTTTTCGTGAGACCCGTGAGACCATCTTTTTACAATTGAAACTTCACAGCAAAATGCTGTGAAGGTAACCTTCACAGTGTTTTTGCTGTGAAGTTTCAAGTGTAAAAATATGGTCTCACGGGTCTCACGAAAACAGTCTGGTCTCACGTGAACCCAACCCTATATATATATATATATATATATATATATATATATAAACTAAGAGGAGGGGACATGGGCCATTGCTGTCTCCCAGCAATTAGAACACTTTAAGTTCCATTCATTCATTCATTTTGTTGAATCACCATGTCCATGATATGATCATTCCTCGTTGGACGACTGTGATTCCACTCTGCTTTTTATTATGCTATTCACCATTATCTATTTTCAAGGGATTTCTGTTGATCATGCATGTGTGCAAATCCAGTGATCACGGATTCAATCTTCATTTCACAATTTGTGGAAAGTTATGGCAAAGATTTATATGACTTTTTAGAACCAAACAGACAATCACAAACAGACAAATATATATATATATAAATATATATATATATATATATATAGGGGCTTAATCAAATRAGAACTGAGTTGTTTGTGGTAACTGTGAGAACCAATCTCAACCACACATCTTAAATATCAATGGTTAAAATTGAAAAGAATCTTAATTAATGTGATTCCAAAATTAG